GAAGACTGCTGTCATAAGCCAATTCAGGTCAGTCAGGAGTTTTGGGTTCAAGATTAGTAAGACAAGAGATACTCAGACAATCTAACATTTAAAGGATATGCAGCAAGGATATAGCATTGATTCAGTTAGGCACAACTTCCCTGCCTTTTGTTAGATGTGGTGGTCTCTTGGTCTTCTGACCAAGGGAAGAGCCTGTGGAAGGCATTTCTAACTCTTTCTGTTCTAGCTTTTATGCTTAGATCACCAGGAAGCTATACAAGTGGTTTGAGTCCTAGACCTTTGAGCCAATTAAATCTTAAGGATAAGTTAAATATATTTATGTCTGTCTATCTATCTATCTATTTATCTATCTATCTATCTATCTATCTATCTATCTATCTATCTATCTACCTCTTACTCATCTGTGTGGGATAGGGTCTTTAAGATACTTCTATCCCACCTTGCCCCTTTCTTTAGCAGCAAGAAACTAAGGATCTTATAGAGGAGATTTAAATCCATCATTTAAATGGCTCAAGAAGCTCATTGTAGGTGGCACTGAAGAAGAAGTTTAGTTAAAAGTGGGGAAAAAAAGTGTAGACAAGGAAGAAATAAAGTTTTTTTTTTAAAAGCAATATTACAGTCCCCTGAATAAGTCACAATATAGAGAAGAAAAATAGCAGAAATTTCAGGTTTCACTGTAACCTTGAGAAAGAATGACTCTCAGATCTTAATTATATGGCCCATGTGGTGAGTGATTCCAAATATTTATAATTCCTAATAGATACCCTGATGCAAAGCAGTGACAATGACCAGGAACAACTCTAGGAACACCAAGACAACAGGACATATGATGAAATGTTCATCACAGTCACCAATCCTTATCACAGATTAAGATGATCTTTGCAGGCTAACCAGGTCAAAGAACACTCTTCAGGGGCACTGTTATTGCTCACTCCACCCCCATTTGACCCTGCATTGCTGCTTACTCTTCTTCCTGCCGACATTGGGGTCAAAGTTATAGCTTACCACACTGCCCATTGTCACTGGAGCCCGTGCTACTGCCCACTCCAGTTCCGTTGGGCCCCACACTAATGCTCATTATGCCAGAGCCAAATACTAACCTACCATGCAAGGGCCAAGGGATGCCAAGTGCTTTCATTGCTCCACCATGCTGGAACTCAGCAATGTTCCAGTGCCAAAGGCTGATCACTGCCCTCTGTGCCAGACTAAGCTATCACCTATTCCATGTCTCACATACTACTTTTGTTCCCTGTGCCAAGATCTGAACACTGTCATCAGCACAACTTCTTCAGTGCCTGCTGCCCATGCCCCTAAGCCAGAGAGTTACTTTTCCTGGTGGTCCACCATATTAATAAGGTCATGAACAGCCACAGAGGGTGGCTCAACCAACTCTTTAGGGATTCTGGTCAGCCAATTCATGACTTCTTTTCCTCTTCCTATAACTGACCATCCTCTCCAAAATAGGAAATCCGTCTTACCACCCATCACACCTAAATGTGGGCCATCTCAAACTCATAATATATTTGCCATGGGCAAGTATATCCAATTCAGGATCACTCAACAAAGCTCAAATAAAGAAACACAAAGTGAAAAGGGGAAACCAGAGACTCTTCTAGGCCAGCACATGTACTTTAGCTGAGATATATGATCAAATGTCACATTGTCCAGGTTATGGGAGGGAACCTGGAGGGTTGGGGGCTATGTGGGGGTCACTTTTCAGAGACCTCTTGACTCCACCTCATTTGAAGGTCCCAGAAAGAGCTGCATTTCTCAGGAATGAGAGTAGAGCTTTGTTTCCTTTTAAACTGATATAGCCCTGCCTTCCTAAGAAAGTCATCTGGGATACATTTAGCATACTTGTTCATATCCTCAATTCCAAAAAGGTCTCCAGAGTATTGGAGAAGATCAAGCATTATCCTTTTAAGTGACTGTCCCAGGACTTCCCACTAAAAAGTCCCCCCAACCAAAAAAAAAATCCATGTGGTACAGTTCCTGATGGTCTCTCAAATGTCATAAGAAAAAGACTCAGGTAGTTTATTCAGCAGAGTTTCAAGGAAGGCCCAGGCCTAATTCAACTGGTTAACCCTGTAAATCACAATTACTTCCTAAATACAGCATTATGCAGGTCCAAAAAATGATAGTTTGAAACTTTCTATATGACAGAAACTGTACTAAGCCCTGACGATATTAATAGAAACAAAAAGAAAGATGATCCTTGACCCTAAAGAGTTTGTGTTCTGGTAGGGGAAGACAAGGCATAAAAGGAAGCTGAAAAGGGAGGTTGCTAGGTACCTAGTACAAGTGTGCAATGAAGAAAGAAGTTTGAGAATGTATGTATATATATGTGTGTGTATAGAAATATATATAGATACATATATATACATATATATATAATTGGCCACTCTATTTTAAAAATCAGAATTCTAGTAATGTCCTTGCATTCCTACTCTTAAGACATTTAGTCCCAATTAGGTTGAGCTGAACCTCACTAAGTCCCCACACTGGGATCTTACTTTGTAAAGGAACCTAGCTTGAGCTGAATCTCTCTGTATTTGTTTCCTCATTTCTCTAAAATCTCTTCTTAGTTCTAATAATCTACTTTACTGACTCATAGAATACTGGGACTGCACGTTCCCATGACATATCTCAGTTAAGCTCCCTTTCAAGAGATATTCCTAGAAAGTTAAGTATAGCTTTTATAACAATAGATTTTTATTTGTATCTTTTGCTTTTACATTGCCTAAATTTCCCCTTGCATTTCTCTCTTCCCCTTCTCTCAGAAAGCCCTCTGAAGTATTCAACATAAAAGCAAGAGAGAGAGAGAGATGGGAGAGAAGAGGGAAAAAAATCAGCAAAACTGATCATAAAAAATACATAATGTTTCACACCAATGGGCCCCCACATCTGTAAAGGATTTAGAAGGAGGAAAAGTTGTCTGTGTTACTTTCCTAACTCCTTCAGGATCACTACTTTTATTTTCATCTTAAGGTATTAATTAATAAAATATGGGTACAGTAGAAATGGTGGTGGCTTAGGAGGTAGAGGTTCTCAGTTTGAATCTTGGATCCATAAATGAGGATTTACATTTCTGTAAATTTACATTTACATTTTAAATTCATACTTTACATGTCTGGCACTCAGTTTCCCCACCAGAAACTATTTCTACAGCTTTTTCTAGTTCTAAACCTTAGTAACCTAGGAGTTAAAAGCGTGCCCTTTTTCCTAGGTATGTTGTCACTTTAGTAAGAGATCATAATCCAAATTAATTAAAGTATAATAGTGGAGTAATAACAACAACAATAACTGGTAATGCTTTAAGGTTTTTAAAGCACTTTACAAATATTTTCTCATTTTATCCTCCCAATATTAAAAGGTAGTTGATGTTATTATGCCCATTTTACAGATGAGGAAAATCAGGCAGGCAGTGGTTAAGAATCTTCCCAGGGTCACAAAGCTAGTATGAGGCTGAATTTGAACTCAAGTCTTCCTGATTCTAGGTCCAGAAGTCTATCTGCTGTCCTATCTAGCTGGCAGTCAGAGACTATATAATTGATTTTGTGATTGTTGTTCAGTCATATCCTACTCTCCATGACCCTATTTGGGGTTTTCTTAGCAAAGATACTGAAGTGTTTTGCCATTTCCCTTTTCCATTCATTTTATAGATGAAGAAACTAAGACAAACAGGGGTAACTGACTTGCACCTAGTAAATACCTGGGGCTGGATTTGAAGTCAGGTCTTCCTGACCTCAGGCTTGGCACTCTATGGAGTGCACCACCTCATTGCCTGTGATTGACATTAATAAGTCAGTAAACATTTACTAGGCATCTACTATGTGCCATGCACTATACTAAGCTCTGAAGATACAAATACTAAAAGGAAAGACAGTTCTTGCCATTAAACAACTCACAATCTAATGGGCCATCCATCACAGAAAGGAAAACTGAAAAGTCCTTAGCAGAATTTACCGAGCAGAGGGACATGATGGAGCACAGTCCACTGGGAAATGAAGAGATAGCTGACCTGTGTTCCCTTACTAAATGGAGGTTTGGGGAGGAACTCTTCACTTTGCCCTCTAATCAGAGGGCTCCCGAAGTCAGAGGTTTAGTACTGATGAGGTTTAGCACTAAGACTGATGGCTCTGAATATACTAGGTTGGTGGGGAAAGAAAACTCTGCATTTGCCTTGTGTTAGATGATGTTAAAAAGGGTTCAATTCAATATTGTAATTTAGTTAATGTTGACTATATTACAGACGAGATTTCACATTCTTTTGGGATTTATTGAAGGAACTAGTATATTAGGACTTTCAAAATTTACAAGTTCAGGTAACTTTGAGTCCACAAAGACATGACGAGTGAAGAAATACAATTAAGTGAAAAATACCTTTTTAAAAAATTAGGTAATAACTGCAAATGAACCCTCCTAGTGCTTTTAAAAAATTAGAATCATTCCTGTAATGAAATGCTGTGACACAATAATGCAGCTAGAATGTTCATAAAGCAATCCCAAAGCCTATAGAATTTATTTGTGTTACTCAGGATTTAGTCAGCAACAATTTTATTGTTAAAGTTAAGTAAGTGTAGCCAGAAAATATATTCTTTGGACACATTTGTTTTTTCATGAACATGTGTTTCAAACTCCAGGTGGCCTGAATGTGAATGAAGAGAAAATTGAAAAAAGAGAAAATAGAAACTCCTTGGCATGACCATAAAACCAAATTCAATATTCCAACACAACTGACTGAAGAATAAACAACTTACAATTAAAAAAAACTGCTTTTCTATGTATCGTATATTATGCCAAATAAATAACCAGTTTGACAGATTTTTCTTTTCAGCTGACTGAGGGTTTTGTCACTGTATCTATATAACTTTTGAATGGAGCATGGGTTCAGATGAATTTAGGGTTTGGAGTTAAGAAGACCCAGCTTCACATCTCACCTCTGGCAACAGCTGTGTGACTTAGGCTCTTCATTTAAGATGTAAATGTCCAAGGCAGCTACCTAAGGTTTAGGATACATGTTCATCTGTTTGGCATCTACAGTCCTTCTTCACAAGAACATGGTTCTAAAGTTCACTTTCAGTCTTTAATTATGATCTTCCACACAATTTATGGTTTGGGCAAACTTGACTTCTTGCTATACTTCAACATGATATTCAATCTGACATCCCTGTGCCTTTGAATAGTCTTTCCCCTCCTTACTCCCTTACTCCCTCCTCATCTCTGTCTGTTAGAAGCACACTCAAGTCAACTCAATTGATAAGCATTTATTGTTTGTTGACAGTTATGCTTAGGGCACTGTGCTAAATACTGAGGATACAAAGAATGGAAAATGGGAGAAAAACAGTTGCTCTCAAAGAACTCATAATTTAATAGGGCATACAACATACAAATATCCATCCATCCATCTATCTATCTATCTATCTAAAGAACTTTGGAATCAATTATATGATATGGGAGACACTGGCAAAGGACTACCCAGCATGTACATCAAAGAAGGCATTTAAGCTCTTATGAGTGAAGCAGGAATGTAGTAGCTCAAAAGAAATGAGAGATGTGCAAATTTAGAGACATCTTGACTCCAGTTGTTCACATGGACTATCTGTGCCCAACCTGTGGTAGAGTCTTCTGAGCTTATATTGGTCTGATCAACCTTAACGAGACTCACTGTACCTTGACTCCAACATAGTGTTGCCATTTTGGTCCTCTTTGAGAACAAAGGACAACAACCAACCAATCTACACACACACACACACACACACACACACACACGTATATATGTGTGTGTTTATATATATGTGTGTGTGTATATATATAAACTTTTGCTGTCTCTTTAATATATATATACATATATACATATATATGTGTACACACATAAATATATCTACATAGGATAATTTGTACTTAATCTCAAGGAGAAGGCACTAGCATGAACAGGGATTCAGAAAGTTTTCTTAAAGAAGGTGGGAGAGACCTGAAGGAAGCCAAGGTAGACAGAAGATAGACAGGAGGCAGAGATGAGGGGGGAGACATTCTGGACATGGAATGACCACCAAAGAAAATGCATGGAGGTGGGAGATGAAATGTCTTGTGCACAGAGGAACAAAACCAGTCACTGGATGTTAGAGTATCCTAGAAAGGTAGGAGTGGGTCAGGTTATAAAGGGCTTTAAAAGAAAGAATTTGACATGTGATCCTGCAAGTGATAGGAAGACACTGGGGTCTAATAATGAAGAGATGACATGTACACTTTAGAAAGATAACTTTGATAGTTGAGTGGAAGATGGACTGGAGTGGGGAGAGATACAAGGCAGAGAGACCAAAGAAAGCTTTTGCAATAGTGTAAGCATGAATTTATGAAGTCCTGCACCAGGATGGTGGCAGTGTTGGAAGAGAGAGGGGGGTCATATGTGAGAGATATAATGAAGATAAAATCAACAGGCATTCACAACAGAGTGGATGTAAAAGATGAAGTAGAGTGAAGAGTTGAGGATGACATCTAGTATGTAAGTCTAAGTTCCTAGGAGTATGGTGGTGTCCCAGACAGTAACAGTGAAGTTAGGAAGAGAGGAAGGTTTGGAGAGAAAGATAACGAATTCAGTTTTGGAAAGATTCCATTTGAGAGGTCTACAAGACGTCCAGTTCAAGATGTCAAATAATCAGTTAGAGATGCAAGATGGGATGTCAGGAGAGAGCTTAGGGCTGAAAAGTAGAATTAAGACTTGATTGCATAGAGATAATTGAATCAATGGGATCTGATGAGACTACCAATTGAAGTAACATAGGGGGCAGAAGGCCCAGGACATAGCCTTAGGAGACCTTCAGAGATAATGGAAATGTGGAGGATGAAGATCCAGGAAAAGAGACTTAGAATGAGCAGTCAGATGTGTTGGAAGAGAATCAGGAGAGAATAATGTTATAGAAACCAAGAGGAAAGAGAATATCAAGGAAAAGAACAGTGTTAAAAGTTAAAAACTGCAAAAAGGTTAAGAAGGAGGAGAATTGAGAAAAGGCCTTTAAATCTGGCAATTAAGATACGGTTAATTTTGGAGAGAGTGGTTTCATTTGAATAGAAGGTTGGAAGTCCCACCGAAGAGAGTTAAGAAGAGAAGAAAGGAAGGAAGTGAAAAGAAATGAAGTGAAAGCCCTGATATAGTCTTTTTGAGGAATTTAGCCATGAAAGGAAGGTGAGATACAGGATGCTAGCTAATGGGAATGGAAGATTATTTGAGGATGGAGGAGATATGGGCATGTTTGGAGATAGTATGGAAGGAGCAAGTAGACAAGGAGAGATTGAAGATTAGTGAGAGAGTGGGGATAATGGAGGGAGCGATCTGCTGAAGTAAGTAGGAAGGAATGGAGCACTTGTGCTCATAGAAAGGTCTACCTTGACAAGAATGGCCACCTCTCCATATGTGATATGGTAAAGCAAGATATAACAGGGGAAGAAATCTGTGTAATGAGAGATGAAGAGGATGTGAAGAGAAGGAGCCCATGAAAAATGGCCTAAATTTTTTTCAGTTAAATATCAGGCCCAAGATCATGGGATTATAAATTTAGGGCTGGAAAGCAGGCTTTTGTTGTTGTTGTTGTTGCTCAGTTGCTTCAATTGTGTCTGGATTCTTTGTGACCCAGTTTGGAGTTTTTTTGACAAAAATTCTAGAGTGGTTTGCCATTTCCTTCTCTAGTTCATTTTACACATGAGGAACAGAGGCAAACAGGGTTGAGTGACTTGCTCCAGGTCACACAGTTAGTAAGTGGTTGAGGTTGAGATCATATTTAAGCTCAAGAAGAGTCTTCTTTACTCCAGGACTGGTATTCTATCCAGTGGACCACTTAGCTGCCTGAAAAATTTGTTGTGCCTTTTTTCACAAATGAAGAAACTAAAGTATAGAGAGGTTGAGTGACTTGCCCAAGGTTACAAAGATACTTAAGTGTCAGAGGCATGATTTAAACTCGGTTTCCTCCCAATTCCATATTCAATACCCGATCTTATCTCTCTGAATACCTCTTTTCCTTCAAACCTCAGCTGAAACATCACTTCTTACACAAGGCCTTTTCTGATGTGCCCAGTGGGTAGTACCTTCCTACGAAAATAACTGATGTTAATTTTGGATATATTTTATATATAGTTACTTATGTAGAAGTCATCTCCCTTGACAGAATGTAAATTCCCTGAGGGCAGCGAATATTTCATTTTTGTCTTTGTATTTCCTGTAGTCTATCATAGCGTCTGGAACATGGTAGATACTTAATAAATCTCTTGTGCTTGGTTGACTGACTGACTGACTGACTGACTGACTGACTGATAGATTGATATCTCCTAAGTCTTGTGATCTTCCTCCTAGTATAGTTCATTGGGCTAATGAAATCACTGATCCTTCCCAAAGTTCCATATAAGACCATACCAAAATAGCTCTCAAAATAAAATAAAGCAAATCCAATTAAAACTATTAATAATGGAATATTCCCAGGGATAAACACAACAATTGAAGCACCTTTAGAACAGCAAAAAGTACAATATAAGCAAAGTGAATTGAACAGAAATAGGCTTACCTCCAACAAATCCCACACAGAGGTAAAGTTGTATTACACTAGTACAAAAAGAAGCAGAAATCATTCCCAAAGCACATAGTATACCTCCTGCTATCATTACTGGCCGGCTGCCAAATTTATTCACCAAAATGCTGCTTATTGGACCTAAAGGAAAAAAAGAAGGTAAAGAAATTTTCACTTAAAAAAAAGTTTTTTGAAATTTATTTTTGAAGTTCAAAGAGCATATTGTTTATATTCAAGAAACAATTTTACTTCATAAAATATAATTTAGTACAATATCTTAAAGTATCTGTATTGTTACTATTATCTTTTTAAAATGTGAAAGTTCTTGAAATTAATATTTTTCCTTAAATCTAATTGAACATGCATTTATTAAGCATCTCCTATATGTGCAAGGCATGGAGCTAGGTGCTATCTATATAAAAGTAAATCCTAGAGATTGGTAGATAACTACAACAATGATGTGGTTAGGGAGACATAGATTGAAATAGTGAATTTCAAAAGAAGAGAGGTTATCTAGTGATGGAAGGAGAGGAAGGATCTAGAAATGTCAATGATGAGCAAGGGATATTCTGACCTCCTTTAGCCCAATATGCTGGGAGGCATGAGCAAGATAGTCCATCTACTACTGGAAAAAGTAGTGAAGGATATGTCTTCTAGGGAAAGCCTAGTTTCCATGTGTATAAGATGGAGAGATAAGCAGAAAAGGTCTAGGAAGAAGGGAAATTTGTTAGTGATAAAATGAGTCTTCCTGAGGGCATAAAGGGAATACTTTCCTCCTATCCCCTCCCCACCCATGGAGAAGGCAAGCAGTATGATATCAATTATACACATAAAATCATGTGGAAACATATTTTGATGTTAGCCGTATTGCAAAAAAAAACCAAATATGTGAGAAATTTATACTTTAATTTGTACTCAGAACTCATCATATATATATATATATATATATATTTATCACCAATACTTTGGAATTGTCTTGAATCATTCTATTGATAAAAGCAGTCAAGTTTTTCATAGTTGATCATCATTACAACATTGCTGTTACTATGCACAATGTTCTCCCATTTCTTCTCACTGCATATAGGTCTTGTCATGTTGGGTTTTTTGTTTTTATTTTTTTCTGAAAGCATCTTCCCCTTGTAATTTTTTTCATACTATAATGGTATTCAATCACAATCATATGTGACAACTTCTTCAGTCATTCTCCAATTGATGAGCATCACCTCAACTTTTAATTCCTTGCTAGCATAAAGAGAGCTGCTATAAATATTGTTGTATGTATTGTTCTTTTCCTTTTGCTTTCATATATTTGGAGTACAGACCTAGTTGAGGTATTGCTAAGTCAAAGGGAATTTATATAGTATAATAGCCCTTTTGGCATAGATGCAAATTGTTCTCCAGAATGATGGGACAGTTTACTACTCCACCAACAGTTTATTAGTGTGCCTATTTTCCCTGATCCCTTCCAATATTTGTCTTTTCTCATAGGTGTAAGGTGATACTTCAGAGTTATTTTAATTTGAATTTCTCTAACCAATAGAGATTTAGAACATTTTTATATGAATATAGATAGCTTTTATTTCTTCTGAAAACTGCCTGTTCATATACTTTGATCATTTGTCAATTGGGAAATGACAAATATTCTTTTTATAAATTTGACTCAGTTCCCTAAGTATTTGAGAAATTAGACCTTTTTTGGAGAAATGTGTAAATATTTATACATATATATTATATATTAGTTCATATATTATTTATGACACCTGTTAGCAAAATGTAGTTTTCCTGATTATCTCTTTTAATTTGGTCTATTTTTGCTTTTGCTTTATCTGAGATCATGATTGCTACCTCTACCTTTTTTACTTTAGCTGAAACATATTGGATTGTGCTCCCATCCTTTACTTTAACTTTGTGAGTGTCCTTCTGTTTCAAGTGTTTCTTTTATAAACAACATATTGTTGGATTCTGGTTTCTAATCCATTCTGCTATCCACTTCTGTTTTATGGATGAGCTCATCTTATTCACATTCAGAGTTGTGATTACTAAATGTGTATTTCCCTTCATCCTATTTTCTTCTGTTTCTTCTCTCTCTCTATTTCTCCTCATAAGTCTATTTTGCTTCTAACCACTGCCTCCCTTAATCTACCCTACCTTATTTATTTATTTATTGATGAATGTGTCCTATTGGATAAGATAAATTTCTACACACGACTCTGTGTGTGTATGTGTGTGTTTTCCCTCTTTGAACCAATTCCGATAAGAATGAGATTCAAGCATTGCTCATTCCCCACACATTTTTTCTCTCCACTATACTCTTTCTTTCAAGCCTCTTTCATATGAGAAAATTTTCCTCATTCTATCTCTCCCTTACCCCTCTTCCCAATGCATCCCTCTTGTTCACCTCTTCATTTTTTTTGAGATTATTCCAACATAATCAACTCACACCCATACCCTCACCTATATGCAAACTCCATTTAACTGCCCTAATAATGATAAAGTTCTTCGCAGTTACTTGAATCATCTTCCCACATAGGAATGTAAACAGTTTAACTTTATCAAGTCCCTCATGATTATAAATAAAATCTCTTGAGAAGTCATAGGTTCACATCTTAAACACAAAGGGAAGTGAATCTTTTCCATTCTTCCATGAACTTACTAGTTAGAATAATACATGACAGATATATCCCTTTGGAAAATGTTACCTTGTACTAACAGGACATACATAAAATATTCTTGTCAGTTCACTGAAGTTTTGTAATTGCATCCCTTAACAGTTGCTTTTCATACCTATCTAGCATCTAATATTCAGGGCCAACCAATAGCTATATTGTGCTATATTTGTTGGCCCTAACAACAAAAATATGAATCTGCAAAAGAAAACTATTTGGTTCCAAGGATATAAAAGTAGAGAATTTATGATACTATAGTTTTAAGAGTGTCTGACTACACTTAGAATTTTGTTATATGGTCTTTTGATATGTGTATATTCAACAGACTAGGGAGAGCTGCAGAAGGTGTTCTGAATGCTATCTCTGATTTTTTTTTACTTGATCTCATTATTTTACAATCTTCTGATATATTCCATGTTTTCAGAGCCCAATACATATGACTTTACCTAAAGCAAGGGTTCTTAACTTGGAACTCTCAGAAAGGGGTCTGTACATAGATTTAAAGGGATCCATGGAATCTGATGGGGAAAAAATACTGTTTATTTTAACTAATCTCTAATAAAAATTTAACATTTCTTTTAATTATGAATGTAGGCAACAATAAAATTCAAGAAAAGGGTCCATAGGTCTCTTCAGACTACCAAAATCTCTACCATATAATGCAAAAAAAAATATTTTAAAAGATACAAGGACATATAAACACAGACAGGTCTGGGGGAAAGAGGAGGAATACTCAGGTAGCTATATATCCCAGAGTTGCATTGCTTCACCTCAACAAGATTTCATGTTGTTTTCCATCCTTAAAGAACACAGTTCAACAACTACAGTAAAATTAGTCAGCCTCAACTAAAGACCCAGGCTTTTCTTGGATTAATCTGCTGTTCCCAGAATGTCTACTGACAGCAGATGTTGCCTGCTGGATGTTACAGTTCAATAGCTCTACCTTCATTGGTTATGATAATAGACATGACAATGATTTAGCAACTTGAACCCTAGAAAATTTTGAATCAAAGATAGTTTTCAGCACTTTCCCCTAAAAAAGGATATGATCTGCAGCCAAATCTAACTGAACCTATAGATATCACTATCAATATCAGATAAATAGCATTTAATAAATTTCTAGTATTCCAGATCTTGAGGGATCTCCAGACATAAAGATAAAATATATTCCTTGTCCTCATGGAATTTGAAATTTACAATCAGAGGACACAATACATATACACATATGTGTATAACATACATATTATATAAATATACAGATGTACGTACATAATTAAACACATCTCTATATACATATATACATCTCTATATACCCATATACATATGTATATGTATAGATTCATGTACAAATTCATGAAACACAAATGCACACAGACGTGTGTGCATAATAAGTAAATCTTAATGGTAAAAAGAAAGTATTATGTAATATTGTAGAGGAGGCTATTGTTAACTTAGGAGCCTGGACAATTTTTTTCTTAGAAATAGGGGTAACTAAATTGATCTTTAAATGTTAGGTAGGAATTCAACAGTTGGAGAGTAGGTGATTTAATGCATAGGTATTAATACGGGCAAAATCAAGGAATTTGGAGAGTATATAACATATACAGATTAAGGTGAATTGTCCTATTTGGCTGGAGCATTGAGGTCATAGAAGGTAGTAGTGTAAAATAACACCTCAAAAGTAGAATGTTCATCAATAAAGCATTTCTTTTTACAGGAGAAGAAAACTGAAGGAAATGTCAAGTGTTGGCAGACTGTTGCCAGGAAAAGAAGAAAATAATGCACCATTGAAAGTTTTTGAAAGAGGAATGCCTTGACCAGATCTATAGATAAGGAAGATATCTGGCAGCTGGAGGTTGTAGGAAGAATGAGTCAATCAGAGGACGGTGCTACAAAGGCAGACCATGTGTGAGAATTGAAAGCTTGAAGTGAACTTCAAGGGTGAAAGTTATTCTGTAGTATGATAGAGAAAGTCTGCAGGGTCCTCCCCACAGGGGAAAAAAACTGAGGCCAGCAGGTTAAGTGACTTGCCTAGTTCACACAACTGGTAAGTGTCTGAAGCCAGATTTGAACTTGTGGAAATGAGCCTTTGTATTTCCTGGCCCAGCACTTTATCCACTGCACCACCTAGCTGCCCTAGAGGGTATTGAATACCCTCGCTAAAAGATAAACCTGGGGTGCGTGTGTGTGTGTGTGTGTGTGTGTGTGTCTGTGTGTGTATGTGTGTGTTTTGGGGAGAATGACACATCAAACCCTTACCAGTCATTAATAACAGTTAGTGGTCATCTAATAAGATAATGAGTAAATGGGACATGGCTGGAAGTTTTGTTTTGTTTTTTGTTTTGTTTTGGTTTTTTTTGGAGCCAGCAATCAGACAGTGAGTGACTGAAGCATAAATTATTCATCAAGAGCACCCAAAGAGGGCAAATTAAAGTTGAATGAATGCTGGGCAAGCAGAGGGCAGTGAAGAACTCT